TGCATCGCGACTTCAATGTTCAAAGAAAATACTTGGGATTTAGGTTTTTCTGAGACTTGGGGGCGGAGCTTGATACTAATCAGCCAATGATTGAACGAGTTTTTGAAAAGCTCCGCCCCTMAGATTGAAAGAAAGAACAAAATCCAGACAAACTTCAAAACAAAGAGGTCGCGATGCAACGATTTCTGCTGTAATGTATAAAGTCATCAATTTTGACAAAGTTATACTTACGCACAATTAGCATGCAATACTAGTTGAAACAAAGAAGCACAGCTAAATTAATGCCTGCTATTAATAGTTTACCATGTAACTCTAGTCACACTTATATCTTATCGTTGATTATTTTTCAGCCGATTTTGACGAAGAAGGTGCGCCCGTCACTAAGCGTCAGCGGGTTCAATACACGGAAGTCCCAGGCCACCATGCGTATGCCCAGGCTGTCCCGGTCACAGTGGTGACAGACGAAGCCTCAGTGGCAGCCATYCAAGCCATGGACGGCACCTTGACCGACATGCAACACATTACCGATGGCACACAAATCACCATCCCTGTAGCCATAGCAACGGAGTCCGGCATTGAGGTCCACGATGCCCGAGGATTGCAGCATTCTATCGGGTTGTCCGAGAATGACCAGATCCCCGCCAGCCACACTCTTGTGCATGGTAATGGCATGGACATGGGCTCAACCGTGACTGTCACGCCAAACACTGTGGTTGTCACATCACTTGAGGGTGGTACAGTTGTCACGCAGGCCGCAGGGGAGGGGTATCAGGTAGTGCATACCGAGTTGCCYACTGATGAAGGAGTTCCTACTGAGGTTGTCCAGGTCCACATTCCGGTCAARGAGGATGGAGAAGAACTGGAACAGCAAGTTGGAGACCAGGAACCAAACCGGGAAGTCCAGGAAGGTTAGTATACCAATAAAATAATACACTACCTCTTTCCCAGGGCCTTATCACCTCGTTTAGGGATACACAGGATAAGCAAGACGGTTTTTTTAAATTAATAACTTAAAGGGACAKGGTCCACTAGCATGCAATGCGGTCGTGTTTTAGATTTTTCATATATGGAAAATGAGGTGACTTCGAATATCCATTCGAAATCCGTTTCCATCCATCGGTTTAAAGGTCGAATCTTAAAGCATCTTCATTCATATAGTATAAAGGAATAATAAGGAGTACGTTTTTGCTTATATTACGATGTATTTCTATTTTCAAACATAAACAAAAGCTCGAAAGGGATGCTGGTGGACCATGTCCCTTTAAATGATAGCTAAAAACAATCGACCGTCAATATCGGGGGACTAGTGACAAATCATGTAAACGAGGCACCAAAGGCCTTACATCTAAAATATCACCACCAAGATTGTATGTAAGTAGCATCAAAGTTTGAAAGATGTATTAGTATATTATTTATAACAAAACACTCTTGCAAAACATCATGGAAGTTTACTATATACGGAGGCTTGCCTTTGAGAACCTCGTTTAAGTCCTTCGTCCCCAGTGCCCTGGTCGGTGACCGTGACATCTCGCGCCATTTTTGAAAGTCGTGAATGTACATGTTATAATCATTGTATGGGCTTCCTGTGGAAGCACKTTCAAGCTTACTAACTTTAGCAAATCTATTTTCCTTCAAGATGATATTACCCAACAGAGAATTCTAAACGCTAAAGCTGTACTCGATGAAGTGTTAGCGGCACAGGTGACAACCGACAACAGTGAAGAAATACCAAACCCTGAAACAACCTCGACCTCAGGGACCACCCCACTTCTGGCAACCGAGGGTTAAACTTTTACATTTTCGCTCTGTTTTTTTGTTTTTGTAATTGTTTTGCAGAAGCAATTGCTTGGCTTTTAAAAGATAATGGCAGTGATTTGATCGTCGCACTTAAATTGATTTAATTTTAGAATGAAGCTATTAGATTGCAGGCACTAGAGTGGAAACCCTAAAGCCGTGAAAAGGTAGAGTGATCGCACTCAAACCGTGCAACTGTACAAACTAGATAGTGCTATTTAGTTGTATTTAGTAAATCTTGTATGCGGTAGAGTGATCGCACTTAATCCGTGCAACTGTACAAACTAAATAGTTCTATTTAGTTGTATTTAGTAAATCGTGCATGCGGTACGCAAATTAAATTGAATGGATACAAATGAAGCATTCAATACCGTCTTGCTTCAGGTCCACTTTTAGTACAAATTAGTACTACTTCGATTTTGTACAGTTGCACGGTTTAAGTGCGATCACTTTACTAACCAAATATTGCTAACTAGCGCAATATAGGAATTCGCATAACTACAACTTAGGGCTATTTAATAGGCAATGAGCAGCGAGGTCATTTGTGCAGCAAAGCATGATGGTAGTTGTAGTCCTCGCATTTTTCACGGCCCATAAAATATCTCCTTAAAAAGTCGTTTTCATATTTTCTTTTTGAAAAGGCACAAATACTTCTATTTCCTCTAAGAAAAATTGAAAACTGGTTATTAAGACTGTCTTAACGGACATGAAAAAGTACGAGGACTTCAACTACCATCATGCTTTGCTGCACAAAATGGTGTCGCTGCACATTACCTATTACTGATGTTTTTCATGGTTTTAGTGTTTGCACTCCAAATACACTTGACATAAACATGTAGAGTGAAGTCAGAAAACCCGTGAAACAGATATTACAGTGATACATTTTAGTACGGTGTAAACGCATTGTTTTCTTTTGTGTCTATTTGACTATCACAGTTTAATGGTCAAGTTTTGTTTCACGGGTTTAATGACTTCACTCTATTAACGAAAATAATAATACCAATAAAACGTTCAAAGACGAAATTACGGTTGCTTTCTTTGATTTATTTGTCGTTACTCTTCTGTAGCTGGCCAATCTCGTAAGGTTACTGTTGGACACCTATTAAAGAATCATAACCACCCGCCGTACCTTGCGAACCGAAGCGCCATTTTAGGTGGACACGAAAATGGCGGATTTGTAGGATTTCTTAAAGTGAGCGCGAATCGTCTTCCGTCCTTTCAGTTTGGACAGAAATACCTTTAACTAAGTACCTCACAGGTGCTATCAATCTATAATTTATTGTATCCTTGACGCATTTAAACGTATGTAAACAATAATACGAGCGCGCAAGGTACGACGGGTGGTTATGATTCTTTAAACAGTACTCTATTAGGCAGTCACTTTTCATGAAGCGGTCACTGACTTACTACCCGAAACTCAATCTTTATTAAGCGTTCATTCACTCCCGCTCATCACCGATCAGGATGCGGATCCTATGCCAAGAACTAGAAGGAGGAGCCGACGGGTTCCTGGGAGAAGAACATCTGTTCTTATGTCCCAGGCCAGCTGGTCACAACTGGTTGCCACCGAGAAATTAGGAAAAAAGAACTCTCCAGGCAAGGAATACTTGCTAATGACTTTTGCCAGGAAAATAAAATTTGCCTAACTCATATACATGAGAGGGTACATCACAAAAGGGTTCTTGTGTCTGGCGGGAAAATCCAGTCTTCCATGAAAAAGACGCAATTAATTCACTCGCTGCATCAAAGGGATCTTAATTCTTTAGCCTACTTTTGTGCTGTCTCTTCTCGGTCGAGAGAGGTGTACTGGTGACGTAGGGCACCCCAGTGTCATCTTTAACCCCAGCCCTGGCCTCAATTCAACAACATCTTTGCTTTCACATCAACCATAAGAACTTTGAAAACAACTGCCAAGACCGACCGCTCTGGCGGAAAATGATCTACAGCGGTCTTGACCGTGATCACAAATCATATCTCGCTCATCTTGAGCAGAAATCTCTTAAACGATCAGAGAAGAGAAAGCTAAAATGAATTGTCTGAGTCATAGTTCCCTATGAGAACTGAAGACGGCCATAGCATAGCTTCTCATGCCGTTTTTGACCATAAAAACGTTATACAAGCCTTTTTGACCTTAAAAACGTTTGCCAGAAACAAAATTATTTTAAAGAAGGAAGGGCGCCATTTTGCTGGTGAGATTGTTAACAAAATAGCTCAATACCTTTTTTCAGGAAAACATTTGTACAAGAACAGTTTTTTAGAAGAACAGACCCCGTGGGCTTCTACTGACCTACAATAGCATACTAAATTCGAAAAAAAATTACGTGCAAGTACTGTTTATTTAGTTTTTATTGGTGATTTTCTTTAAGTCTTTAACAACCGTACATCCTGACGCATTGAAATAGTGCTGAGATAAAAGTTTGCGAATATCAATGCTTCAAATTTGACCATGTGCWAAATCCATCTATAATATCTAAACAGCTTTCGATTTACGTCTTCCAATACAAAATCTATCTATCTATCTATAGTGAAAATGGACTCTCGAATAATTATCTTTGTCCATACACAAAAAAATCCCCAACTCCGTCATAAATTTCTACAGGCGGGTTTGAATGAATTGATCGTTTTCAACCATTCCCATGAGATTCAAAAGATAAAAGACCGGCGGCCATGTTGGAGGAATGAACAATAGATACTAAWGAGAAATCCTTTGTTAAAGTTCAACCAAGATGGCCGCTGTGACGTATAGTGAAAACGAAGAATAGTGTCACACACTATGTCTTTCAATCTTGCATTTTCTAGGCTGTCTACAACTAATTTCTTGTTCAAGCCTCCGTAGCTATAGAACATATATTCGCCAATTTTATAGTAAGATTGCTCAAGATCGCCGTGCATAACAAGGTACCCACCAGGTTTTACGAGGTTGGCTAGCTTATAAACTGAGTCTTTGTACTCCTGGAATGAAGAAGAAAGAAAGTTTCCATGGCAACGTCATTGCAGCATGCGCCACTACTCCCCTATATTAAATTTGCTCTACGGGTATGTGCCGCATGATAGGGTCCCTTTTTCGGAGCTCCAAGTCTGGGATAGGGTATCATTTTTTGCCCATTTGTCTGTGTTAGKGTAGTAGTTTTGTCTGGGATAGGGTAGTTTTTTGTCTAGGATAGGGTATAGTCTGTTGTCTGGGGTAGGGTGGAGTTTTGMTTGTGATCGTATCTTCTAGGCCACGCTTTCACTGCTAAAATAATGTACCTTTTTACCTTTAGTCTGGGGTAGGTAACGTAAAATCAYAAAAATTGGTCTGGGATAGGGTAAGGGTTTTGAGAGTCGTGCGGCTCAACCTCACCCAAGTTGGGGAGGTAGCATTCCCCCCTCCCTGGGAATTGAAGACGAAGATTCAAAACCTAAGAAATAGAACTCTAGTCGTAGCGAGTTTGAGATTGCGGCACAACAAGCAATAAAGCATTCATGCGAAAATGGATGAATAATGTGGCGAGTAATTAAATGTGATCAATTAGATTATTATTATTTCTCTGCGACGATCACTTTTCCTTACAAATTAAACCATCGCAGTTAAAAAATCACCATTTCAGCACTTGTTACTTATCTATGTATGGGTTTGAATGAGTTAACCCAATAAAATGACTGCTCGACAACAAGGTTGGCTTCGTAGCTCACGGCGGGGGACGCTCGTCGGATCTCTTGGGGGTAAAAATTCCTGATTGAGAATCTTAATTTTTGGGTGCTAACTTGGAGCTTCTGGAAATTATTTAATTAAAAATATTTGTCATAGCTCAGTTGGTTAGTAGAGCACTGCACCGGCATTGCAGAGCTCATGGGTTTGATTCCCGTTGAAGCCCAAATTTTTCCCAGGCGATATATTTAAATTCACTTAGATTATTGTTATTTTACTGGGACGATCACAATTCCTTGCACATTTATTCACCGCGCAGTTCAAACATCATTTCGGTATAAATACCTGATCACTTTCAACTACAGAGTCAAGACAGTAACTCGTAAAGACGACATCATACGGTGGAAGAAGGCCTTTTGTCAAAGTCGCTGTATGCAGTGGATTGCTCGCTGTAATATCACATGGAACTATAGCTTTAATCTTGCTTCTCAACTCATCCTCCCTGTCAC